CTCTGTCCCAGCCTGTGGCACTGCCTGGGGTTGTTGTGAGCCAAGGGCAGGACCCGGCCCTTGGCCTTGTTGAACCTCACCCCATTGGCCTCAGCCCATGGAYSCAGCCTGTCCAGAKCCCTCTGCAGAGCCTTCCTGCCCTCCAGCGCATCACCCTCCTGCCCCAACTCAGCTGTGTACAGTCTGTCTCACTGACCAAGCTGACTTAAAAGGKTCTGTGCTTGTTTTAGCAGATTACACTGAAAGCTGTTTTTGCCATGCTGTCATGTCTTAAAAGATAGCTTTGYATTTTTTCAGTTGTAGGACTAGTTGCTGTTTCACTGTAACACTCTCTTTATCTTAAACTGTTTTGATTGTAAATCTTCAAAGTATTACATTTATTTTCTAATAACCAAACTTTAATGAAAGTTCTAAAATTATTGGGTGTTTGAAGATAGGAAAATACTGTAATTTATTTTCTGCCTGATACTTCTGTCAGAAAAGCAGAAATTTTTCACATATCAATACCGATATTTCTGCAAACATTTCAGAAAATAGTGCTGTCTCATTAAATACGTGCGAATAAAAGGTAAAGATTACTTCAGAGTAAGGTAAATTAAATTCTAATAGACTTAAAGATGTGTCTTTCTGCTCTTGCAGTGAAAAAGAGAGAACCACTAGATRTAAGAAATTTTGATTATAGTGCTCGAAGCTGGACTGGTAAATCTCCAAAACAATTTTTGATTGACTGGTGCAGGAAGAATTTTCCCAAGAGCCCAAATCCTGCTTTTGAAAAAATTCCTGTTGGAAAATACTGGAAATGTAGGTATGTATTTCCTGTAACCTTTGTATTTGCCTTTTGGTTCACTAGAAAGCAAAAATTCTGGTCAGTTCTGTCTTCTCGATAGAGATTTAGATTAATATAGTATRTTTAACCCAAACCTTTTTTAGTCCATTAGGAAGGTATTTTACTCTGGATAGCTCTGCAAAAGTTAGGTTAGTGAATGATCTCAAAAAGCAGGGATAAGTTTTTTTGTGTACTGCTGAATGGAAGAGTAGTCTGAAGTGAACCTGTGCGATAAATTTGGACAGTTTTATGTTCGATGTTCTTATTCAAAGTAATGAATCACAGATTTTAAGTTTATGAATACCTAAACTCCCCTGACAATTGTTTAAAATAAAGTGGAAGTTACATAAATTTGTAACYGAAACAGTGCAGTATCTTACTTCTAAATTTCTTTTAGAAGTCAAGTCTATAATACAAGCRTTGTGAAGTGTTTATTCATATATTACCGTGTATGAATAAAGCAGACATGAAATTGTAAATGAGCAGTGTTTCTTGAAGGAGCCAAGTGAAAGAGCTTGTTTTCTTGCTCAAGGTAAAAACCACTAACATATTTCCCCTGCTAAGAATATGGGAAATTTGGCTGTTGCTCTGACTGGTGTTTAACAGATAGATAAACAGATACTTGCCTCTCGATAGATCATTAAATGTCATCTGATTCTATCTTAAATAGTTATAAGCACACAACAATTAGTCCTTCCTCCAAAGCACCTAACCTGAATCGTAGTCTGTGTATGAATAGTTCTGCCTGAAAGAAAATGAAGATATTTATGAAGAGAAAAACAATCTCAGATTCATCGCTGAAATCTTTGCTGAAAATTATATAAGTATTTTCTGTTTATATTGGTAGCAAAAGATTGAGATAAAYGCTTTTGAAATTTCTCCTCAAGGGTCAGGATTATCAAGTCATCAGATGATGTAATGGCCATGTGTCCTACAATTGTAACAGAAGATAGTATGCAAGCGCAACATCTGGCTGCTACTTTGGCACTCTACCATTTAACCAAAGGACAAGTAAGATTTTCACCAATATTACTRTTCTTTGCCTTGAATAAAAATGTTTATATTTTTATTTATATTTTGTTTATATTACTGCTTTCATAGTTTCTCTATTTTGAATGGCTTCCTACTTTTTTTTTGTTGTATCCTCTGACATTTAAGTTTRTTTACGTGTAAAATAATAGTGATGCTACTAAGTAGTACATAATTAATTTTTTTCTGCTTTTGGCTCCTGAAGTCAGTTCATCAGTTGCTGCCTCCTACCTACAGAGATGTCTGGCTAGAGTGGAGGGATACTGAAAAGAAAAAGGAAGAAGAAAGCAAGATAGAAACCAACAAGCCTCGTGATACCTTTATTGCTAAATTATTAAACAAACTCAAACAACAACAGCAGCTACAGTCGGAAAATCAACCAAAACTACCTGAGGGTCCTGAAGATTCCTGGGAAAACTTAGTTTCTGATGAGGACTTCAGCAGTCTCTCCCTTGAGACCTCAGATGCTGGTAACTTGGAACCTGCAAGGATTTTGTTTAAGAAACTGCAAAGTTCCTCCAGATACCAGAGGCTTCTGAAAGAGAGACAGGAGTTACCTGTGTTTAAACATAGATACTCAATTGTAGAAACACTTAAAAAACATCGAGTGGTTGTTGTTGCTGGTGAAACAGGCAGTGGGAAGAGTACCCAGGTGCCCCATTTCTTGTTAGAAGACTTGTTGCTAGATGAAGGATCAAAAAAATGCAACATTGTTTGCACACAACCCCGAAGAATCTCAGCAGTGAGTCTTGCAACCAGGGTCTGTGAAGAGCTAGGCTGTGAATCAGGACCAGGAGGAAAAGTAAGATATATCTCAATTCCTTTGCTTGTGGAGACCAAATACAGGGGGCTGATTGTTGATGGAAAGTGAAAATGTTATTTCTTACACAACCAAGCAATTAGATGTTATTTTTCCTTGAGAAGGGCTTCTTGATATGTCAGTTGTTCGTTTTCGTCCTGTTACCTGCAAACTTGTAGGTAGCCATATATGGTTTCTACAGTGTTCAGAGGCTGATGTAGAGCAACAGCCTAAATCATATTGGTGTTTCATAATGGGACTGGTCAAAGATTTGAGCAGATTGCGTGAGACTGTGGCATCACTATCACTAGGGTTGAAGAAAAGTCCCTTAAATAAGGCTCTGAACAATCCAGTCTGGCCTTGAGTGAGGCTCTGTTTTGAGAGAGGCCCTTTCCAACGTACGTTATTTTGCTATTTCAGGAAAGCTGAAGTCCCGTATTTGTTAGAGTAATTTGTGCAAAAATATTTTTGAGACTGTCAAAGAGTCCTGAAAAGAATCCTGATTTTCCCAGCTCTTTGCTACTGTGGATAAACTTAGTGTATTTTTCCTTTCTTAACAAAGGAAAGTACTTGTGTGGAAGTATGGCAGTCATTCACAATACTAATGAATTAGCACATTACAGTCTGTATTGTCTGACTTTAACAATTACTAAATTTAACTTAATTTTGAATATTGCTAGCTTATGTGTTATTTTAAGTTATTCCTATATTTTAAATTTTTTTTAAGAATTCTCTGTGTGGATATCAAATTCGTATGGAATCAAGAACAGGAGAAGCCACCAGACTACTGTACTGCACAACCGGTGTCCTGCTTCGGAAACTTCAAGAAGATGGTCTTCTTTCAAGTATATCTCATGTCATTGTAGATGAGGTTATCAACTCTTTTCTATTCTGCAGAAATTATAGTTATTCTGGGCCTATACTAAATTCATGCTATAGATGTGTTTTTCTGATTCTAGGTACATGAGAGAAGTGTCCAGTCTGATTTCTTGCTAGTTATTCTGAAAGAGATCTTGCATAAGCGTTCAGACCTCCATCTGATTTTAATGAGTGCCACTGTAGACAGTGAGAAGTTTTCCAGCTATTTTTCACACTGTCCCATTTTAAGGATCTCAGGGAGGAGCTACCCAGTTGAGGTAGGTGCACGTTTTGATTACTCAAGACACTTCACATGCGTATATACAGTGTTAGTATCTAGGCAATAAACCYATATCACTTTCTTTTAAACAGAAAATACAGATTTTAAAGTTAGTTTTTCAAGGGCTTGTAGTCATTTTTCTTTTATGAAAATGTAGAATAGCTTTGAAGTACATGTTGCACTGTTTTGTTCTGATGTATTTGTTTGGTTACRAGTAGTCCATCAGTGACACTGATTTTTCTCTGTTCAACACATTAAAGAATTCCTCCCTCCCCACAAGTAACTTCATCATTACACTCTCATGTGTTTTTCTCATGCRTGCTGTATAGGCTGTGGTAAGAATTATGTTAGTGATCAGGTGGAGAGGCCCATTAACAAACTTGTAGCAGCTCTAAGGTTAGGTTTTCAAAAACCAGAAGAGTTTAAGTTGAAATTTGCAAGATTTATTAGAACAAAAAAGCATGTCCTGTGCAACTTGGTTATGTAAATTTGGAAATGGAAATGTGAGAAAGGTTGCTGATTAGTTTTTGACATGCTTTGTGTTTCTTCTGTGAATTTTCACTAAAGATTTTCCATGTTGAAGATATAATTGAAGCAACTGGCTACGTTCTGGAGAAGGACTCAGAATATTGTCAGAAGTTCTTGGAGGAGGAGGAGGAAGTAACAATAAATATTACTGGTAAAGGAGGAAGTACTACAAAGCACCAGGTAAAGTAGGCATTTTTAGTTTTGGCTTGGAAATTTTGGGTATTTTCATTATTTAATCAGTTTGGTTCCTYTGAATTAAATGTGATAGGATTGTAGAATATGAAATATTCTTTCAGTTTATAAAAGACAATGGCACTCCTATAAATATTTATGAATGCTGCGCCCTTTTGATTGTTGCTCCAACTACTGTCTTGATTTTGCTGTATTTGACTTTGAAGTCTCTTGTAGATTCCCAGCTCTGGATCTATAGGCAGTGGCAGGGAATTAATTTTTTTTTCCCCCAAGAGTTCTCCTACATAGTGGACCTAACAACAGAAGAGACAAGGCCTTATCTTTCTTAGCTGAAAAACTCCTGGTTTTCCAACCTGGCATGCCAAATGAGATGGTTTACATGAGACTGTTGTATAGACCTGTTTTGTTTAACAGGCTGTGTGCTGTGACAGCTTTATGTGCTTTTGGATCAAAACTCTTGAAGGGGGAGATCCTATCAGTGTCATCTGACTTAGGCAGCTTGGGCTGTTCATCTAGACTATGTATTTTGGGAAGATATGTCTGCTCCAGCTTGCTTTGCAAAGCTTCTGCAAATTTAGCTTGCTGTGATCAAACACTGATACATCTGTTGAAAAATWCTCTTGTGTCCTCTGCTGGTTATTTTTCTTCAGAAGGATACGTGGTGTCAAGCTTCCTTAAGTGTGTCTATTAACGATGAAATAGTTTACAGTAGTGCCATATAATACAGAAGCTATACTTTGTGTGTAAGATGTCTAGAAACAAGTCAAATATATGTCTCTCCTGCTATCTCTCCATTTTTCCTGTTCCAAAACACTGTAGGAGTTGTCACCTAGTTAATACTTAATTTTCGTTGCAATCATTAGTTGAGAAGGATGAGGTGAGGGAGTGGGAAAAGGTGAAACTAGTTTTTTAACACTCCCGAATGGGAGTTTTGAGAGAAGAGTAGACATTCTGTTACCCCAGTTTGAACTGATACCACCTGGATGCTAGGTATGGACCTGGGGCCTATTTACTTCTTGGACAGACAGACTTTAATTTTTATGTTTTTTAATCTGGAGTGTCATTTAACAGTTGTAGATACCTATACACAYAGGTAGCTGTGATTTAATCTAACTCGCACATGTTTTGGTGTGAAATTAGTTAAATTTCTCTTACCCAGTCTTCGTTTCAAATGAATGACATATTGACCTTCTGATCTTTTACCTTCTTCTAAAATACTAAGAATATGATATCTTCTTTTCATCTGCTTACTCTTGTTTTTTAGGAATATGTTCCAATCCAGTCTGGATCTGGTATCGATTTGGCTCCTTACTATGCAAAGTATAGCGGTCGTACTCAGCAGGCTATCCTATATATGAACCCATACAAGATCAACCTTGAACTTATTTTGGAGTTGCTTGCATATTTAGGTATAGTCCACTTCTTAAGAAGTTTATGTACTTGGGCCTGTCCACACCTAGCATTAGTTCCTGTTGTTTTGTGAAATTCTTTGCAATGCATGTTTGTTTTAACTATATGCCTGTATTGTAATTTCACAGATAGAAGTCCCCAGTTCAAGAACATTGAAGGTGCTGTGCTGATCTTTTTACCAGGCCTTGCCCATATCCAACAGCTGTATGATCTCATTTCAACTGACAGACGATTTAACTTGCGTGACAGGTAACGGAGATATTTGCTTTTAAGTTAASTGTCTAAGCTACAACCAAACAAACATATTCATTAAGGTGTGCTGTTCTTGAAAAGGGAAACTGAGAGTTTTAGCTTTGAGCTAATTGTGCTACAAATGTACTTTGCTCTACAATACAAATATACTTTTGCTACAACACGAATGTACTTTTACTACTATAATCTAAAAGTCATACAAACAAAAATGACRTAATTAAAATGATATGATAATTTTTAAAAATTAATTTCTATTTAATTCTTCAACGGATTTACTTAATCAAAAGCACTTGACTACTTCTTTTCCACTTCTTAGGGTATGGAAGCTGCCATACCTGGGATACAGATTTCTGTGGCTTACTGTTTACATGGAAGTGACTACTTCCTGAGAAGAGCTCCAGAGCATCTGGATCTACCAAGAGAAATGGCCTAGGGTTGTAGTGACAGATAATTTTGAAATTTATTTCTTGGGTAACTGAAAATTAGCAACACAATTGCATAAAAAGAACAATAGCAGTCAAATGTTAAGTACTTGTTGAAAGACTGAGATGTAAAGGTCTGGAAGAGAAGGGAAGYCCCAGTGATTCTCATCTCTGAAGGCCCTTATTACTCTTAAGTTTCACATGTTTGCAATGGTGCTTGTCTTAGAAGCATAAGTAAAGAACTTAGGTTCATGGGCACCTAGCTCCCTTTATTGCTAGCTGTTACTGTAAAATAACTGGAAGTTCTGCAGTAGTACTGTTTTTCCTGCATTTTTACTGAATGGGAGAACATCCCTATGAACTAATTACATTGKTTTTTGTACATACTGTAAAAAACAGTGGAGCAGACTTTCATACCTAATCATACAAAGTTTTATTATTTCAGCTGTCTATTCTAATTGCTTTCTCCAAACTGTTGTCATTATGCTGGTCTTATTTTTTCACTCTACCTTATTTAATAAGTGTATATTTATTACTATAATTTCTCTTTCTAGGCATAGATTGATAGCTCTGCATTCTGTTCTTTCAACTCAAGACCAAGCAGCTGCATTTACATTACCTCCTCTTGGTATTAGAAAGGTAATATTTAGAAAGTTCATGACTGAGAAGAGAAATTTTCTTTGGGTTCAATTCTGAATTTTTATAAAACGTAATCATACAGAATTACACCACAACCAGTTGTTCCTGGAATTTTCTCTCTGCAAACAAATAATTCTAATTTGGTGGGCAGTAATGGCTAATATGTTGTGAAAATCTTGACAGTAATTGGATAATTCTTTTTAACCTAATCTTTTCTGTTAATTGTTATGTTCTGTATTTTAATTATTGTTAACTAATTACTATGGCTTTTTTCTAGGATTTATTTTATTTACTGCCAAACTCTTTAATTAAATGTTGATCAATTTTGACAGATACTAGCTAATTAAATGTTGACCAATTTTGGCAGACATTAGCCAGTAATTTTGATGGATTGTAAAATAAAATGGGAATGTGAAATTCTTTCTTAACTTTCAGTTTCTCTCATTGGGGAAGATAGACCATTACTCAAGTCATGTAGCTTTTATTAATTTGTCAGATTACTTAAGGAAAAATTTCTGGATAAAAAAATTTAACCAGACTTACTCCATAATACTAATTTAAATGAGGAAAACTGTYAGACATTCCAGTTCTTCTATTTATTTTATGTTACTTTTTCCAGATTGTTTTGGCAACCAATATTGCAGAGACTGGTATTACAATACCTGATGTTGTCTTTGTAATTGATACTGGGAGAACAAAAGAAAATAGGTAAGAATTTGATTTTCATCAGTCATATTGTGATTATGGTAAAAATTGGAAGGATAGAACTGCAACAGTTTTGTAGTATCTGTATTGAATTAGAGTTCTGGATGCAGAAATGTGCTGAGCTCATTTAACAGCTTGCAGTTTTAGGATTGAGTTTGGGATGTGTCTTTGGAGCTTCAGATGGTGTGAACGAAAGTTGTTCATAGATACGGATAGTCATGATTAAGAACCATTTCAAAAATGAAGGAAAWCTTCTATATTATCTCAGTTTTAGGAAGTTTTTTTTTGTCCACTTTAACTGTGAAAAGCYCTATGCAATCTGTTAGAACAATTCTGAATTTCCAGGAAGATGAAATAATACAGCTTTCAGTTTCCAATTTTTRCACTTTCATTGGATGAGTTGTATTTTAAGCTCTATAATGAACAGCTCCTCCCATGTATGCTTAGTTTTCAGAATGAAATGTATTTTCAGATAATTGCTGATGTGTCATATTGTTGGTATGCTGGTGTTCTTGTTACATATAGATGAAAATTTTAATCTGAAATCTGAACAGGCTTTTTTTTGTGTAATTTTTCAGGTATCACGAAAGCAGTCAGATGAGTTCCCTGGAAGAGACCTTTGTTAGTAAAGCTAGTGCTCTGCAGCGGCAAGGAAGAGCTGGGCGTGTTAGGGATGGGTTCTGCTTCCGAATGTACACGAGAGACAGGTATTGTGAACTTAGTAGGATTTTGTAGATGATATAAATATTGCTGGGGATTTTTTTCTGTGCAAAGCCAAGAATTCTTGTTGAAATTCACTTTAATTACTGTGAACCAGAAAGATTAAACTGGAAAAAAACTCAATCAAAACCAGAATTTGAATATCATACGTAAAAAGTGTTACAGTAGTCTTTCACATTTTTAAAAAATATTAGTTTTACTCTTATTATCTCTGTAACCTGTTTTTAAAAAAATMCTCATAACTGAAGGAAAAGTGTGGCACCAAGGAATTGTAGAACAYCAGTTTTTGATAGCACCTACTTTCCTCACATCAAATGGGTGCAAATTTTACCTCCTGCACTTCAAACTTTTTATCAGGCAAATTTGTTATCTATGGATAAGAGGTGGGGGCACTGCAGAATTAATTTGTGTTACTGCAGTGRAATAACCTACTTCCTTCTGTGAAAGCCTGAAGGGATTTTCAGCTGAGAAACAGAGTCTTTTGATATAACCCATGAAGTGTGCCTTTTTGTCATGTGCAGGACTTTCCGTTTGAAAGCCGTGCATTTTACAGATTTGTGTTGAAAGTTGGGGTTTCCTGCCTTTCTGTCTCTGACTAAAACTCTTGTTTTCCAAGCTGCAACACATGCCTTAATTCCAGCTTTGACTGTCTTATGCATGCTACTCCCTGCCTTGCCCCTTGAGAAAAACCTGCAAAAGAACAACCATGTGAAACCCATATTTACAAGTTTAATTCAAAGATTTATTGGATATGTGTTTCTTTGTTTTTATGATGTTGCAGGTTTGAAAGTTTCATGGACTATTCCATTCCAGAAATACTGCGTGTGCCTTTGGAGGAATTATGCCTTCATATTATGGTAATGGTTTTTGATTTTTAGAATTGCTAACCTTGTGTGGTGGGTTGACTTTATCTGGACACTGGGTGGCCTCATAGTTCCTCTATTCCTCTCTTCCTTATCTGAATGGGAGAGAAAATACAATGAAAGGCTCATAACTAGAGATAAAGAAAGATTACTGCCAGGCCCCAATTACTGTCCCAGTCAAAATAGACTTGATTTGTGGAAATTAATTTATAAACTGTAAAGTTAAAGTAGGTTAATGAGAAGTAAAAAGCAAACGTTATACACACCATTCACCCCTTCCACTTTTCTGGACTTTATTTCTCATTCCCCACCTCTTACCCTCCATCAGAGCAAGGAGACGAGGAATGGCAGTTTTGGTCAGTTTGTCAGACATTGCTGCTTCTTTCTCAAAGGGAAGGAGGATTCCTTTCCCTGCTCCAGCCTGGGGTCCCTCCCACAGGAGACAGTMYTTTAGAAATTTCTGCAGTGTAAATCCTTCCTGCAGTTTGCAGTTCTTCACTAACCTCTCCAGCATGAGTTTCCCTCAGGATTGTAACTCCTCCCAGCATTGTATGGGTTATAATGTGGCTCCTCTCTTCAGGGGACCAGAGGTCCTGCCAGGRGCTTGCTCCAGTGTGGGCTCTCCACAGCACTGCACCTCTTTCAGGCATCCATCCACCTGCTTGGGTGTGGGCTCCACCATGGGCCTCCGTGAGTTGCAGTGGGGACAGCCTTCATCACCGTGGGCTGCAGCAGCTGTAGAACTCTCTCCCCTTCCTTGACTGATCTCGATGTTTTCAGCGTTGTTCTCACCCACTCTTTGGCTACAATTTGTTTCTGTGCAATAACTTATCCTAGAGGCATGACCACCATTACTGATTTGCTTGGCCTTGGCCAGCAGCGGGTCTGTCCTGGAGCTGCTTGGCATTGGCTCTGCTGGACATGGGGKAAGCTGCTCTCAGCTTCTAACAAATCACGCAAGTAGCCCCGTCTACCTAAACCTGGCCCAAGCCCAATACACCTTGTTAACTAAAACATGGATGTGCATGCCTTTGGAGGAGCTACACCTTCATACTATTGCTTGTTTTGTAATTACTGAGCTTAGTAGCTAAAAAGATTTGCTAGGATAGACCGGATCCAATGTAATTACTTAGTGGGGTTCTCCAATAGGCCAGGGGTAACTCAGCACTTGACTGCTGGAAAATCTGAGCATGCTGTACAGTGCATTGTGCATAGTGTGCTGTGTAATTCCAGTTTGCCTCACAGTGACAGTTCGGACTTTCTTAAATAGTCTTYTGATAGATTTCTGCTTACAGGAGCAATTCCATTATCTCTCACTGTGTCTAAAATGAGTATGATGTCCATGGGAAAACTAGCAATCTGACAAATTGGTTCTAGGTTGACCTGCGTCCAATCAGGTTTGAGGGTCTCCTGCTCATCAGTGATGATTTGTAAAACACTTCTCTGAACAGCTGGTCATGCCRTTGAAGCCTTTCCAAACAATGAAGTTTTGTTAACCTAACATGGAGCACATCAGCCTTCTGGGAAGCAAGAGGCTTGTTTAGAAGGGGAGGCAATATGAACTTTTGATGCAAGAACAGCTTTCCAGTTTTCTGTGTAGCTATTAGAAAACTTCYTTATAAGAAATGTTATACTGAAATATGTCACTTTACTCCACAGAAATGCGGTCTTGGCTCTCCTGAAGATTTCCTTTCCAGAGCATTAGACCCACCACAGCAGCAAGTAATTGGTAATGCAATGAACCTGTTGAGGAAGATCGGGGCTTGTCAGTTAAATGAACCCAAGCTGACTCCCCTGGGCCAGCATCTTGCAGCTCTTCCTGTTAATGTAAAGATTGGCAAAATGCTTATATTTGGTGCTATATTTGGCTGTTTGGATCCTGTGGTGAGTAAAAAAAAAAGTACAGAAATTGTTAACTCTTTGCAATTAATCTGATTTTTTGTAATGTAAATTCTGAAATGATGATGTAAGAAGTTAAAATGTTTATTTTAAGGTGAGATATCCAGACATCATGGAGGAGAATAATATAAGTTGAACTCAATGATCTTAAAGGTCTTCTCCCATTTAAAATGATTCTATGACAAAACTCCTAGGTATTCATCACAATGGATAATCAGGCTTGGTCACCAGTTGTGTCATGGTGATCCCAGGGAGTCTGACATTTAAAGAAAATGTCCTCTTACATGTGGGTTAGGCAGTCTGGTTTACCCCACAGTTTGGGGTTAAGAATATGTTGATGTAAAGTTATTGCTAATTAATCGATTGGTAATTTATTATGTAAAGATTGTGACATAGTTTACGTTTTCAYCTAATCCATTTAATTCACTGCAAATTAGGAGGAAATATGGGTATGTTAGTTCCTGGAAAGCGAAAGTTAAAATTCTTGATAGTTTCTGTTRATGTGGTATAACCTAAAGCAGTTGATTAATCTGACCTACATTGTCCTATGATTTGGCAAAACATTTCTTGTGAATTTTGAAATTTAATTATTTTTATTCATATATATATAAGCMACTCTGTAAGCAGTGGCTTTAATATAAGCAAGTGCTGATTTCTATATAGGAAATGAATTCTATGGAGACTCTAACTTTACTTGCAATATTGTAGAAGATAAGCTATAATTAGTGGAAGAGCTAGTGATTCTCAGGTGCGAGATATCAGGCAGGGAAGACAATGGATGAGCATGAGTGAAGACCTGCTGGTCCAGCTCAAGGGCAGCAAACAAATGTGCAAGCCGTGTGGAAGCAAGGACAGGTGTCCTGGAAAGAGTATAGGGATGCAGTCTGGTTGTATAGGGATGGGGTGAGGAAGGCCAAGGCAAAGATGGAGCTGAACATGGCAAGGGATACAGAGAAGAATAAGAAGGGGTTTACAGGTATGTCAGCCAGAAAATGAAGGTCAAAGAAAATGTATCCCAGCTGATGAACTGGTAACAGCAGATGAGGAGMAGGCTAAGGAACTCAACAATGTTTTTGCCTCAGTCATCAGTGGCATCCTCTCTTTTCTCAGTTCTTGAGTGGGTGGACTGCCAGGTGGCCTGTGGGGCAGCAAAGTGCTTCCTACTGTAAGAGAAAATTGGGTTCATGACTATCTGAGAAACCTGAATATATGTAGGTCTAAGGGAACCAGTGAGAAGCATCACAAAGAGTGAGGAAATTGAYGATTGTCAAGCCACTTGCCATGATACTCAAAAAGTTATGGCAGTCAGGTGGAAACCCATGACTGGAAATATTTTTATAAATAGATAAATGGCAAAAGGAAGGGTGAGTGGGAATTCCCTCTTAGATGTGGGAGGGATGAGGACAAAGCAGAGGTATTGAGCACCTTCTTTGCCTCAGTTTTCAACAGAARGACTGGTTGTCTGCAGGATAGCTGTCCTCTGGGCTGGTGGATGGTGGCAGGGAGCAAAATAGCCCCCCTGTTATTCAGGAGGAAGTAGTCAGARACCTGCTGAGCCACTTAGATGATCGCAAATCTGTGAGACCAGATGGGATCCATTCTAGGGTGACGAGGAAGCTGGCAGATGAGCTTTCAAAGCTGTTCTCCAGTATTTACTGTCAGTCCTCACTGGGGAGGTCCCAGATGCCTGGAAGCTGGCCAGTGTGATGCCCATCCACAAAAAGGGCCAGAAGAAAGATTTTGGAAACTACAGGCCAGTTAACCTGACGTCGATGCCTGGCAAGATTATGGAACAGATCATCTTGAGTGCCTACAGGATGGCCAGGGTATTAGACTCAGCCAGCATGGGTTTAGGAGGGGCAGGTCATGCTGAACCTACGTGATCTCCTTTTATGACCTGGTGGATGAGGGAAAATCTGTATATGTTGTCTATTTGGACTGCAGCAAGGCCTTTGACACTGTCTCCCACAACATACTCCTGGAAAAGCTGGCAGCCCATGGCTTGGACAGATGCACTCTTCCCTGGGTTAAGAACTGGCTGGATGGCTGCGCCCAGAGAGTGGTGGTGAATGGTGCTGCATCCAGTTGTCAGTTAGTCACTAGTCACTAGCCCCCCAGGGATCTGTGCTAGGGCCAATCCTGTTTAATATTTTCATTTACGGTTTGGATGAGGGTATCAAGTTAGCCATCARTAAATTTGCAAATGACACTAAGCTGAGAGCATGTGTTGATGTCTTGGAGGGTAGGAGGGCTCTGCAGGGGGATCTGGACAGGCTGGATAGATGGCCCATGTCCAACAACATGAAGTTTAGCTAGCCCAAATGCCACATGCTGCACAACAAACCCCGGCAGCGCCGCAAGCTGGGGGCAGAGCGGCTGGACAGTGCCCAGGTAGAAAGGGACCTGAGGCTACTGGTTGACAATCTGGCTGAACATGAGCCAGCAGTGTGCCCAGGTGGCCAAAAAGGTCAATGGCATCCTGGCCTGTGTCAGGAATAGGGTGGCCAGCAGGACCAGGGAAGTTATACTGGCCCTGGTGAGGCTGCATCTGAGTAGTGTCCAGGTCTGGGCCCCTCAGTTTAAGAAGGACATTGAGATACTTGAACATGTCCAGAGGAGGGCAACAAGGCTGGTGAAGGGCTTGGAACACAAACCTTATGAAGAATGCCTGAGGGAGCTGGGGGTGTCTAGCCTGGAAAAAAAGGGGACTCAGGGGTGACCTCATCACTCTCTACAACTGCCTGAAGGGTGGTTTTGSTCAGGTGCGGGTCGGTCTCTTCTCCCAGGCARCAACCAACAGAACACAGTCACAAGAGGACACAGTCTTAAGCTGCGCCAAGGGAAGTTTAGGTTAGMTATTAGAAAAAGATTCTTCACTGAAAGGGTGATCGCACACTGGAATTRTCTGCYCAGGGAGGTGTGGAGTCWCTGTCCCTGGACGTGTTTAAAAAAAGACTGGATGTGGCACTTGATACCATGGTTTAGTTGATGAGGAGGTGTTAGGTCATAGGCTGGCCTTGATAATCTTAAAGGTCTCTTCCAGCCTAGTTCATTCTGTGATTCTCGTATGACTGGAAAAAGGGAAGCATTATACCCATCTTTTAAAAAAAAAAAAAAAGTAGAAAAGAGGGACCTGGAAACTTTTAACCTGTCGGGTTCAATTCTGTACCTGACAAGATCATGGAACAGATCCTCTTAGMAATATGCTGGGAGAACAGGGGTGTGATTCAAGACACAAGCATGGCACCCTTCACCAAGGGCGAGTCCTGCCTGATGAACCCAGTGGCTTTCTGAGTGGTGGAGTGACTCCCATCAGTGGACAAGGGAAAGGCTACAGAGGCATTTATCTGGACTTCTGTAAAGCCATTACCATGGTTCCCCACAACATCCTTCTCTTTAAGTTAGAGAAAGATGGATCCAGAACCATTAGATGGATAAGAAAGTGGTTGTACAGTCCCATCCAGAGGTGTGATTAATGGCTCAGAGCCCCAGTGGACACTAGAGACAAAGGGTGCCCTCAGTGGTCTGTACTGGGACCAGTGTTATGGCATAGACMAAGGGATTGAGTGCACACTCAGCAAATTTGAAGATGACACCCAAGCTGAGTGGAGCTGTTGACACACCTGAAGGATGGGATGTCATCCAGAGGGATCTGGAGAAGTGGGCAGATGTGAAGGTGACAGGACCAAGCACAAGGTGCTGCACCCGGGTCAGGACAACCCCTGGTATCAGCACAGGCTGGGGATGGACAGATCAGAGCAGCCCCGCCCAGAAGGACTCGGGGGTGTTGGTGGGTGAGAGGCTGGACATGACCCAGCCATGGCGCTCAAAGCCCAGAGAGCCAAACGTGTCCTGGGCTGCATCCAGAGCAGCATGAGCAGCAGGGGAGGGAGGGGATTGTGCTGTCCCTTCATGCGACCCCACCTGGAGTGCTGGATGCAGTTCTGAGGTCCCCAAGGCAAGAAGGATGTGGACCTGTTGGAGTGAGTCCAAAGGATGGACAAAGATGAGCTGMGAGGTTTGGAGTACCTCTCCTTTGAGAAGACTGAGAGAATTGGCRTGGTTCAGCCTGGAGAAGAGAAGGCTTCAGGATGACCTAATTGCAGTTTTTCAGTATCTGAAGCGCATTGGAGAGGAACTACTTACAAGAGCATGTGATAATACRACAAGATGAAATGGATTTAAAGTGRAAGAGGATTGGTTTTGATTCAGTATTAGGAAGAAATTGTTTACTGCAAGGGTGATGAGGCACTGGAACAGGTTACCCTGAGAAGTTATGCATGTCCCATCTCTGGAAGTGTTCAAGRCCAGGTTGGATGGGGCTTTGAGCAACCTGGTTTAGTGGAAAGTGTCCCTCCCCATAGCAGGGGCTTGGAACTAGACTATCTTTAAAGTCTCTTAAAACCCAAGCCTGTAATTCTGCAATAAGGGTAAAAGAAAATCTAAGGCTATTTGTATTATAAACCTGTGGGCTTATAGTAAAATACTCTTAAGTGCTGTGTACTTTGTAATTGCAGGCAACTCTGGCTGCTGTTATGACAGAAAAATCCCCGTTTACTACACCTATTGGKCGAAAAGATGAAGCAGATCTTGCAAAATCATCTCTAGCCATGGCAGTTTCAGACCATATAACAATCTACAACGCTTATCTGGGGTAAATTATGATTCTCCTGTGCTCCTAGTTAGTAGCAGATAACACTTTAAGTAATGCAGTAGTGTGAAGAATCCTTAATATCTCTTTAACCGCTTTCGCTTCAAGTTGTGGTTTTTTTTGGTTTTTTTTTTGTTTTGTTTTGTTTTTGTTTTTGTTGTTTTTTTTTAAATAACAATAGATTGCCAGATGCTGTAACACAAATGGATAGCTTGCTTGGTATTTTGTTCTTTAGATCTTTTTAACTATGCTTACACACATATAGAGGTTTGCTGTGTCAGTTTGTCCTAGTGTTTAAAGTATTTTGTTTACTGTTTGTGGTATTTTGACCAGACTATTTTGTATTTGATRAAGCACAAATGTATAAAAATTACATAGAGGCTTTTTTTTTTTCTTTTTAGAGTATTATCACTAAGTCTGAATCTTAGTTTGGCTGTTAAGACAGACAGAAATGTGTGGTTTTTGAGAGTTAATCACCTTGTATTTCTGTTAGTGTCTGTCAAATCTGYGTTACAGGCATGTTCTCTGGAGTGCACTTAGACCAGCAGCATTCATCTTCATTAGGACAACTTGTTTTAGAGTGGTTAATTTTTTACTGAAACCTATTATTCTTTTTTAACTTTCTGTCATTTCTGTTGTTATAGTCATGATGGGTTTATTCTTGCTATAATAAGACACAATTTTCTTCTTAGGTGGAAGAGGGCTCGACAGGAAGGGGGGTATCGTGCTGAAATTACTTACTGCAGAAGAAATTTCCTTAATAGGACTTCCCTGTTAACTCTGGAGGTAAAGCATGTAATTATGCTCTGCACTCAAAAGTTGTTCTTTAAAATTTCCCTCTGGAAATGTCATTCCCTTTTACAGAAGTGATATATCACAGTTGCTATTTAGACAAGAAAAAGGCAAGTGGTATTCTGTGATCTGATAAAAGGCCCACTCTCAATCAAGGCAGCTATGTTTGTATCTGAGTTTTGATACTCACATTTCGATAACTAGCTTTGTAGTCACTGCCATTGGAGAAGTTAGGCTTTACTTTTATGAGAGAATCAAAACTTTAATTCATAAAGTGTTTATATTATTCTTGTTATCAAATAACTTACCTATTAGTAATTAATTTAAAGATGASCCACAAACTTATGTGAATGGCCTCCTATTTTGGTGAGAAAATGTTTTTATCTTATAAGTTTGAGTGACTGAGTACTTCTTAGCAGAACTGGATCTTTGATGCAAATATATCTTTTAATTTTAACTGCAGGTAGAGATTTAGTATTTGCAGCATATATAYTTCCATATGTCTAATCCTATATTCCAGATACTGGATTATGTTAAAATGTTTTTCTCATAGAAATAGCTAAGATTCCCATATGACTGCAGAAAATACAAGTGGTTTTTCTAGTAAGGGGCTTCCCTCTGGAGAGCATGAATAATTCAGATCAAGTGTCATTTCCTGCTGCTGAAGAGGAGTATGTWACTTTTTAATTTAAAACTTTACTGTTACCATACTTATTTCAGGATGTGAAGCAAGAACTCATACGGGTGGTCAGAGCGGCAGGGTTCACAGCACCTTCAACACAGTGTGGATGGGATGCAAGTGGAGCGACACAATCCCTATCTCTCAGTGAAATAGCTCTACTTAAAGCTGTATTGACTGCAGGGCTGTATGACAATGTAGGAAAAATACTGTATACGAAGTCTGTGGATATTACAGAGAAGCTGGCTTGCATGGTGGAAACTGCTCAGGGTAAAGCGCAAGTTCATCCCTCTTCTGTAAATCGAGACTTGCAGACATATGGATGGCTGCTTTACCAGGAGAAGGTAAGTTGAAAGTAGTAATGTAACCAATAGTTTGTATAAAGATGTAGTTATGCCTCTAGTATACTTAACTGTATGTGATTTAATATCTAAATGCTTTATCTTAATGAGTCTTATCTAATGATCCTAAAATCCATAAAAATCAGCCAACTGAGTGCTGAAGAAAAAGAAGGTGAAGCCGAAGATCATGAATGAATCTGTTCATAGTGAAACTGGTAGCTATAAATTTAAGGAATTTCCTGTGTGTTATTTAACTTAATACTATCATTGACTTTTTAAATACAATTATGTTGATTTTAATGTCACTTTACATGGTAATATCTGGTGGTAACTTCTCAAAGTGTGCCTTTTCACTCTTGTAAGCAGACTAAGGTTGTGAAACTTGGTACTGATAAATCCCAGTAATAAAATAGCCAATTCTGTAACTGACTGCTGAACTCCCTAAGTGAATTGTATTTGTTTTCCTGTCACTTTCTTTCCCCTTCAAAATCTTGTCAGCTATTTGTGGAATTGAAGTGTTTGTATTTACTTACACTTCTGGTACAACAAAAGTGTTGTTTAATGGCCAAATTTACTATAGAGAAGCAGGAAGTATTAGACTTTTCCATGCATATGAAGTGATTAGTATTTTTTGAAAGTATTTCTTGCTCCCAAGAATGTCATAGTGTGGTGACAGCAGCTAAGGTAGGTAATTATTCCATAAACAGTGGGACAAACAAAGCCTGCACTCTCGTGTGAAGATGTACTCCTTTTGTGTCCATTCTTCCCACTACAACTCATTCCACCCTATTTTCTCTTTATCTTTGAAATGTTCCAGTGCCAGAAGCAGCACATGCTGGTCCCCACAGTTGATGCAGTGTATATGTCTGTGCACCACGTTGGTGCATGTGTATATGTGGATGTAGAAATTGAAAAAACAGCTGCTCCCAAGAAGAAATTGTAATGAAAGAGCTATGCCTGCCTTTAAGCAGTTTTAGTACTTTTGTTGTTTTGTCTATAAACACCACTAGGCTAATGTTCTCTTTCCATTTGAGCTTCAACAAGATAACTGTGACTTTAGCTAACTTCCAGCATATAACCCTGTCACTYACTTAGAAGTGAATTATTTTATGTGATGTAAGGCATACAAATAGCTGTTGATGCTCTGCAATAACTTGTGTTTGGTTGCATCTTGACAAGGAAAAAAAAAGTGGATTTTTTCCATGTAGAAGTAGCAATCAGTTTTATGTTATGGATATTGTGTGGTTTGGGATTTCTTGTTACTGTTTTTAATTGTTTGTTTTTGTTCATATGCAGGTGAGGTATGCCAAGGTATATTTGAGAGAGACTACTCTAATATCCCCCTTTCCCATCTTGCTTTTTGGTGGGGATATAGAAGTCCAGCATCGCGAGCGTCTCCTGACAGTTGATGGCTGGATCCATTTTCAGGTGCGTTGGAATTAAAACTAAACTACCTTTTGTGGTTCCATAGGTTTTTGTATTACACAGTTGATGTATCAGCTTAGTTCAGAAAGGGGGAGAGAATTAAAGAGAATGACGGGAAATTTTATATGCCTGTAATGAAATCTGAATAAATCTCACTCAAAAGAATAGACTTGTCATAGGTGGTTTGCAAGAAATCAGTTCCTTGTTTTGTCAAGTAGAAAGTGTTGTTTCAGAACAGGTATTGAAAATGGATGCCGACTAAACCTTCTTTTACAGACCTTGTGGTTAAAGCCAAGGACCATTCCTGTTTTTATATTAACCTTTCCTACAGTCTCAAAATCTTGTAACTACCTATTTATATTTAGCACACTACTGTACATACTGCTCTATAATACAGACTTATTGGAAAAAGTCCAAATTGTAGAACAGCTTCTTACTTGGGTTTTGTGGTGTTTGGTTTTCTTGATTACGCATTTTTTCCTTTCTGTGTGTAAAAGTTTCATTTAGAAATGGGAAAACTGAGAGCACTTTCCTAGCATATTTTTGTAGACAAAACAGTTGTCATGAGGAGATCCTGTGTAAATTCTGGTAGATGGCAAGTAGTGGGTTTTCCTGTCCTGACAGCAACTTGGTTACAATTTTCTGTGCTCCTGTGGGCCTTATGCTACTCTTAATGACAACTGTAAACAGCAAAACACTTCAGTTTTTTGCAGTCTACTGATACAAGTAAGCAACCATCTGACTGAATTTACTGCTTATCATGAATAGGGAATTTTAAAAATCAGGTCCCTTTTGGGTTTGTTAGAGATTTTTTTTCCTGGTCCCTTGATGGCTACAGCTGTGCAGTTTCTGGGCCAGTCATGTCTTACAGAATGTTTCAGAATTTGTACTTTTCTACTGAGGTGCAAAGCAGAGTATGTAGCATCTAGTGCTTCTGCCATAGCAGCTACTTCTTATACCAAAGACAGCATGTAAATGAAATAAAGATTGAAATAGGGAGGGGAGGATAAAATGAAATGTTTTTGGGAGAGGGTTCGGTTTTAGGTATCCAGATTCCTAGTGAGATTTGGGAAAGGCTTGTGATTGCTTTCTCAGAAGGCCTGGCAGACCTCCCACGAGGGAAATGTGCATCTGTTTTATTTTAGGTACAAATGTGACTTGAACTTTGTTACCTTGGGAGGGAAAAGCAATTAATTGGATGTCTTACTGATAAATTAATAATTTCCTCTTATGATGGTTGTGTTGGAGCACATTCTAAGTTACCATCCTGAGCTGCTGTTTTTTTTAGGCTTCGAYACTACAAACAATTGATCTTTAAAAGCTAAGGCATAATGTAAGCGTAGGCATTTCATGAGTATACTATCCATGATGATTATCGTTACCATGAAAAATCATGCATATGCATCACGTTTGCCATAATCTTGTTATAAACTTCTATTTATATGTAAGGTAATACTTCAGTCTTACTTTGATCTATAATTTGGTATGGAATGTCTGATAATGCAAATGTTTGTCTTTTCTTTATAGGCTCCTGTTAAGATTGCAGTAATTTTCAAACAGCTGAGAGTTCTCATTGAGTCTGTTTTGAAGAAGAAGCTTGAAAATCCCAAAATGTCGCTTGAAGGTAACTTTGTTACTGCATTGCTGGCATTAGTGTTTAAGTGGACTTGTGGCGAATCTGGGGAATCATTAGTACACTGAATCTTCACAGATTAGGCTTCACAGAGTAGGCTGGGTGTGACATGAATGTTTTGTTGAGAGATGTCCAGAAAGTCATTACTAACTGTGCATATATTGCGTGGCTCACCTCAGATGTATGAAGTTCTGCCTAGCTGCTGTTCTAAAGATATTCCTGATAACAATATTCAAGGTAGTGGTAGTAATGGTGAGCCATATATTTCAAAAGAGAACTAAGATTGTGTGTGGAGATTCCTTGGTGAAGATGACTTATAAGTATTATCCAAGTTGTCTYAAAATTTAGGTTAACAGTTGGTAATTGCGTTTTGATTCCCAGAGCTAAGGCATAGCAGAGTACAGTTTAAACTTTGGATATTAGATGGTCAGGAGCATATTGTAGGTGGGTAAGAAAAGGAGTTTCCTATGTGCTGATGTATCTATAGTTAGCCCACCACTTTCCCAGCCTCTTTTGTGAAATACTGGAATGGTCAGCAGCGGTTGATTGAATAATTTTATAATGACGTATTGTGTACATACTGCTTGTCCTTTGCTTGCCAAGTGGTAATCACTTGTTTTGCTTTAGATTCTGGTGTAACTTAAAAYATTGAAATTTTAAGCTTCTGAGACCTAGACTTCTCTCATGATTTTCTTGGGGATTTGGGAATAAACTCTTAAGCTCTTTTTCACACACTRTTTGTTTTCTTTTCTAGATGACAAGGTGTTACACATCATCAAAGAGCTGATAAAAACAGAAAATAGTAACTGAAACCAGAAATCAGTAACAAACCAGAACTTCAGTAATTGCAGGGGAAATATGCACTCCAACATTAATTGAAAGTATTTAAATGCTTAGCATGGTTGATGCCAGCCATAATGGGGATAGACTGCATGATTTTGCATAGGATCAATCTTTCTCTATATCACTTTAGAGAGGAGCATTGAATATATTTAGCCTTTGCAGTTCATTTGGTGCCATTTGTCTGACTGTACAAATAACTGCAAGCAGTTTCTTTTCAGAACAGAAATGGCTGTGAATAATTCCTCTTTTTTAGCTTAATGTGCTAATCATACCATCAGATGATTAAAGATTCGGTCCTGAATCTGAATTGAATAGAATTCCATGTGTGCAAACAGAAGGCAAATGTTTCTCATATGGATTTCCTAAGCTATGTTTTTTTTTAAAAACTAGGAATTTATGGTGTTCAGCCAATACATCTTAGAGAAGTCTTAATTTTTCTGTATGATTTACATAAGAAGATGCTCCATAACAGAACATGTGCCTCTTCAGAGGATGTGCTCCTTCTCACAGTTAGTTGTCCCTATTCACCCTACCCTTGCAACTCCTGCGACTGTAATTCATTTTGCTGTCCCTTTTTTGTATGTTAAGTTTTGCATAGTCCTGCAAGCAGCCTTCAAATGATGATCATGTTTTTTTTTCCCCTTATTGATCAAAGTTCAGGTTGACCCTCTTCAAGGAAATAGAGAAGTTCCTAGTGGAACCTTCCAGTGGCAGTTCTCTCCTACCACTTGCTCATAATGACTGAGTCTGTGTGATTCTTTGTTTCTTAATACTGAATAATCCTTAACTGGGTAGCTTAATGAGTCAGATGTTCTTACATTCTGCCTATCCAAACTATTTCCAATTATGAAGTGCAATTTTAGATCACCAGCTCAGCTTTCAGGAATAAGGAATATATTGGTGGGGAGGGTTTGCCATTAAACAGTTACAGTCAAGTAGGAACTGTCTTTACAGACAGAGACACAGTGTGGATTACAACTTTTGTTTAATATGAAAAATAAAGATTTTATACAGCAGAGATTAATCATGCACAGAAAGGGCACTGAGGAAAATTCATGAAAATGCAAAACATGGTGCCTGTCCAGTGATACTATCAGAGCAGAATTGGTATTGCTGTCCAGTTTGTGCATGTTACCTTACACTCAGTTCTGGGAGAGGCAGGCTTGCTGAGAGGCAAGCTTGCTGAGAACTGTGAGGAAACTGGGATCACATCTGTTACTCTTTTATGGTAATCGAGTGGTAATCCTGGCTTTATAGGAGAGACAAGAACTGAGTACTGGGTGGTTTTTTTTTGTGACACCATGTAGGCAAGGAAGCATTTGAATAGGAAGTTTTTTCTTAGACCTTAAGACCTCAACTTTGCCTTCTGTATTCCCAGGCACTGAAATCAAAACCTACTAACTATAGCCATTGAAGATACAAAGTAAATCTGCACCCTAAAAAATCTCATCGGTTTTGTTCTGGTTGAGATATTTTRTTTGTAACATTTGGAAACATGAATTAGAAAAATATTTCAGTAATTCAGTAACTAGCAAGCTCCTGTTCCTTTTGGGTTTGAATTTTGCAAATCGGTTGTTGGTCTTAAGTGGTTAATCTTAGCGAAAGTGTGAATTGTGTTTGAGTTCTTCTCCCTTATTCAAATGTGATGAATAGAGAGAATTTTTTCCATTTATGGATGGTAATGTTGAGATTCAGAGTTATTCTGTGTGTTTCTCTAGCATGCTCTGCTTTGTAATCTTTGAAATAAATAATTGAAATAAGTTAAGGGGATATATTGTAATTACTGGGAAATTGCACGATGTATGTGAGCAAGAGTTTTCTCTAAAACAAATTAAGGAGGTTGCACTGTGGTGTACAGGTAAGCACAGTTATCTTTAACAAAAACAAATACTACGGTGGATTTCTGCTTCTGCAGTATACATGAGCAACTTTTGTGCCTGTACTCTTTTGGGTGGATGAAATTTCTCTTTTGCTCTATTTATTTAATAAAGACTTCTGTTAACACCTTTGTGTTACTTTTCTCAAAGCATTTGTCAGACACAAGACCAGTCACCATCTGTGGATCTTTGTCACCATAGATGCACCTGTGGTCTGCAATGTGTTCTTTCTTTTTAAGGACASCATGTTTTCCTGGTCTATGTCCTCACTTTGGAGAGGAGTTCCTGCTCCTGCCACTTGCCCTGTAGAATTCCCACCTCCTTGCCTCTTGCGCTTCTGGCTTGTGGGGTGCTTGAAGCTCTTACTTTCTATTGACATCTTTCCCGGTGCTTAATGTAGAAGATGTTTYCTTTCACCAGGTCTTTCCCTTGTAGTCTGTAGAAGACTGTGACCAGGTGGTTGGAGTGCTGGAGTATATTGATTTCCCTGCCTTCAGCTGTTTAAAATAGTACACCATTACATCAATAGTCTAGGGATGGAAGTGTAACTGAGACCCAGATTCCCAGCTCTCASCCCTGGTGTATTTGTCACGTTTCTGGTGCCCTCCACTGAAAGTGTTACTTATGGGGAGTATAGGTAGCTGTTAAAGCTTACGAGGTTCCGAGTTGAACTACTGGGAGCTGGGGAGGTGCCTGCTTTGGTAATGGCAAAATAAAGGCAGCAGCTTCAGCTGGCTGCCTTCGTGCTGTGGTTTTACAGCACGGCTGCCCAGTTGGCTCTCTCTGCCCTGCTGGTCGGGAGATCACAATTCCACGGCGATTCCACCACTGCCGCTTGCCAGCGGGCCAGAAGGCTAAGAAGAGACATACTTTTCGGTGACTCGGATTTTGTTTTGGAGACAGTGGTCCCCTAAGTGCCCAGCTGGCCTCCCCAGGACGGGCGGGGCGGGGTACCCGGGAGGCGGGCGGTGACAGCTCGGCGGCCACCCCGCCGCTCAAATAGCCGCCGCCGCGACCGGCGCGGAGCTGGCACGGCCTCCCACTCGATGGTGACGGCGGCGAGCGGGCGGCCCGGCGGCACCCCGGAGGGTCGGCGGCCCGGCTGTTCCCCCGGCGGCTGCCCGCGGCGCCCGGCACGGCGGCGGCGCTTGGGGACCGCGGCGGCGGCAGGGGAGAGCGCGCAGGAGCTGCAGGCTTTCCGCGACTACGGGGAGAGCTGGTACCGCTCCCGCAAGGGGCTGGAGAGCCGCTTCCAGCCGCGGGAGCCGCTCGCTCGGCAGCCGCAGGTAGGCGTAGCGGAGCCGGCGGCGGGGAGCGGGGGGGGCGAGCCCGCAATCGACTCAGCCCCGTCTGACCCCGCTGCCGGTGCCTTAGGTGACTGCGGAGGCGCGCTGCAAGCTGGTCAGCTGGCTCATCCCCGTGCACCGGCACTTTGGGCTCTCCTTCGAGGCGCTCTGCCTGGCCGTCAACATCCTCGACCGCTTTCTCGCCACGACCCCTGTGGCCGCCGACTGCTTTCAGCTCCTGGGGGTAACGGCGCTGCTCATCGCCTGCAAGCAGGTAGGGCGACCCTGGGGCCCGGCTGCCCGACCGCCAGGGTCTCTGCAGCCTGCCGAGGCCAGCCGAGCGGCTCCCAGACAGGGTGGGCTGCTCGCCCGCTCCCCTGAACCGTCTCCTGGCGGTAGCGTTCTCACTCCTGTCCCCACTCGCAGGTAGAGGTGCACCCACCTAGCGTAAAGGAACTCCTCGCCCTCTGCTGCGACGCCTTCACCCGCCAGCAGCTCCGCAACCTGGAGTGCATCGTCCTGCATCGCCTGAACTTCGACCTGTCGGCGCCCACSGCCAGCTTCTTCCTGGAGCACTTCAGCCAGGTGCGGCTGGAGACTCGGGGGGCCGACGCGGCAGAGGCGGCGGATGCCCGGAGCCTGGCTGCAGGTGTCGCGGAGCTCAGCCTGGCCGACTATGCCTTCACCAAATACGCGCCCTCCCTGCTGGCCGCCAGCAGCCTGGGGCTGGCGGACCGGCTCCTGAGCCACCGCACTCCGCTGGACCTACGAGTCAGCGGCTACCCAGAGGAGCTCCTGCGGGACTGCATGGACCAGCTGCAGCTCCTGGTGTCTCTGAACGGGCGTTCCCTGTCCCTCCTCCTGCCTCCTGAGGTGGCCCAGAAGTGCCCCGCGCTTGGCGGTGACCGCTGACAGCGGGTGATGACGGCGATGGCTCCGGCTCGACGTTTGTGCTCCACGGAGTCGGTGTAATCTGATCACTAAGCCTTAGTGCCATTGCAGTTTAAAAAATAGATGGCGTTTTGCAAACGGTTTTTCGTGTCATATCAGCTACATTGTCCCTTTGCTATTTTTTTTTAAAATTCCAGCGTGTAAATAATATACTGAATCTCATGTATTGTGTTATTTATTTGGAGCGTGGTTCATAAYGATAACGGTATAAGGGTCAAATGAATGTTAAATAAACTCTTTATTACTTGTTACCTCTATTCGTTTAATTACTGGTAGTATGCAGACTCAGCTGGGAAACACTTTGGTACTTAACAAATTCACCTCGCCAGTTAACTCTATCCCCCATAAAATAAAGATGCCAAATAGTGTCATGCTCCCTTTCAAACTGGCAGCCGCTGGCTTGGTCTTGGCTCAGGCAAAAAAAAAAAAAAAAAAAAAAAAAAAAGAAAACCAAAACAAGTAGATGCATTGGCATAAGCTGTTTGTTTTGTTTTCTAGCAGGTCTATATGCCAGATGTACTCACTCCAGTGCGAGCTGGCACTGTAACACGGGAAACTTGCAAGGGCAGAAAACAGTCATGGTGTCGTGAAACATTTAATTTTCTTCATTTGTATCTGTGCAGAAAAGTGGTGTTAAAAGACTACAYACACACCTAGAGCTGCCTTCGGAGTGCTCGCCTTTTAGGGCAGAGGGACCCCGACGCCGGGTGGCGCTCCAAGCCCTGTCTGCTGTCAGGTGTTGAGGCAGAAGGAGCAAACCAGTTCAACGCTACTGTTACAGAAAATGCCTACAAGCCCACCTCAGGGGGATWAGGGGCAACTCATCCTCATCCTCCGCCAGCCCCGTCGGTGCTTTCATCTGGGCTGGTCGGTGATTTCATCCACCGGCTAGCAGCGGCTGAGCCCCTTTTCCCCGTGCGAGGTTACTGTCTCCTGGTGCGCGGTTTGGTACATTCAAGATGCCATGGGGCGGGGGCTTTTTTTCCTTCCCTCGCTTCCCCCGGCTTTCAACGCTGACGGYCCCTACCCCTGTAACGACATTTAACAAAAATCATGATAAAAACCAACCCAGCCCACAAGCTGACGGCCACCCTGCCCGGCAAGGGACCCGCGGGGTGGGGCGGCACCGAGGTGCTGGGGGGACGGGCGGCCGTGGTGGCGGGGCCAGCGCCTCTCCTCGAGTTTCCCCCTGGGGCAGCCCCTCGGCCCGCCCCGGCTCCGCGGGCGCGGGGAAGGGTTCGGCGGGCGCGGGAGCCGCGGCGCGGCCCGGGGAGGCGGCGGGAGGTTTCGGCGCCCTGGAGGAGCGAAGGCGGGCGGGCAGCCCCCGGCATGGCCGCGGTTCCCCGCTCCCCTGCTCGCGGGGCGGCGCCGACCGGGGCGCGGGACGGAGAGAGCCCGCCGGCACCGGAGCTGGAGCCGAGGCCGGGATTGAGGCCGTGGCGCCAGCATGGAGCAGGGCGGCCGCCGCCGAGCCTTCGGCAGCATCTGCCCCAACACGGTCCAGGGCCTGCCCGCCCGCCTCGCCAAAAAGCCGGCTCGGGCCGGCGGGGGGACGGCGTGGACCCCTCCGGCCGCCTTGAGCCCCCGAGCGCCCCCGCCCCGTCCGCACCGCAGCGGCGCCTCGCCGGCCCCCGCCGCGCCCGCCCTCGGTGAGTCAGTCTGCTGCGGACAGCCTTGACCCCCAGGCATGAACCCCTCCGTGTCTCCTGCGCCCCTCTCGTGTTCCCCATCGTGCTCCTTAGCCTTGCAGCCCCCGACCTTGACACCCCCACCTGCCCTCCACCGTGTTCCCCCGCTATGACCCCTCTCCACGACCCCCAGTGTATCCCCCCCAGGGCCTCCCACCATGTTCCCCAGCCCTGAATCCCCTGGCAGTGCACATTGAGGGTGCCCCCAGCCGTGCTCCTCATTTTGCCAAGTGCTCCTGGCTGTTCCCATCCTTGCCTGCGCTACTCACCTCTGTCTCTGACTGTCTCCAGTGCTCAGCACCRTCAACTGGCAGGATTTGGCAGCCTCTGCCCCCACCACCCCAGCTGGCCCTGTGATCSTGCAGCAGGTAAACCCACTGTTTGGAACCGGCTAGGCTGCATTTGGCACCTTGAGGGGTTGCTCCATCAAGCAGATGAGCACTGGCAGCTCTCCTAGCCTCAGGACTCCCACCTGTGAAATGGGGACAGCGAACGACAGCATCCTGTCCCATGTGTTGGATGGRTTAGTGGCAAGGGCAGGGCAGGGGATGGTGCCTGGGGGTGCTGGAACTGTGATAAGGTGCTGAGCAGAGGCAGCAGACACTGTTGAACCAGTATGGACAGTAGTGTGGTCAGGTCTGAGCCCTGGGCCCTGCTCACTGAATCATTTTCTTAAACCCTGCCAGGGTCCCTGCTTCCAGGATGGGCYGGAGTTTGATTTCCAGGAGTTCAGAGATACTGTTGGTGATTTTATATCTGGCAAGTAGATATTTTTCCTTACCTGAGCCAAACGTACCTGYGTGTATATATCTGCAGTCATGCTGCGTTCGGTCTCCTCTTATTTTGCTTTGCTTTTGTTGTTTTGGACACCCACTCACTGCCTGCTTGTCCCACCATGGGACAGTCTGTAAAGCAGTGCACTCCTGCTCACCCCGTTAGAGGGACCTGAGCTGTCACTGAGCTTTGTCCAGCAGGAGAGAAATTGAATCCAAATGTATTTAGGGTGTGTAGCTATAGAGTACAAGCATTACAGAGGGATTCTACAACCAGAATGGTGTGTTGGGACTTGGAGGRACAGAGGACATTAACACCTCCTTTAACCAATAACACCTCCAATAACCACCACYCTTGTGGTTATTCCCTCCAGATGTATCCACCTTAACGCCGCCATCACTGGACTGTACTGACTTCGATTTCTCACTTGGTGAGGAGGTGGCCTTTGGCTCCTGCACCCCGCAGCTGCAGAGCAGTGTGCTGGTGCAGGTGCCCCCACAGCACCTGCCTTCCCCCGAGCCATGCTGGAGGGACCTGGCAGACCAGCACCAGAAAGCACTGGGAGATGCCCTGGAGGCAAACAGCCAGGTAGGGACTCCAAAGCCCTTGTCAACYCGCACTGGGTTTGTTCTGTTGCATCCTGCTGAGGCAGCTGCATGGCCCTGGTATGCAGCATCCCCTGGCCCCTGGATGGTGGGGCTGTCTCAACCACCCCGTCCCCATTTGTCCTTCGCAGCTGCAGGAGACCCTCACCCAGAGGCAGGAAGAGCTGGTGACATTGCGGGAGAGTAACGAGCAGCTGAAGGAGCTGGCAAGTCAGGCCCGGCAGCTGGCCGCTGTCCTTGACGTGAGTGCTGCGGCATCATCTGGCCTGGCCACCCCACGGGCCCAGCTGGTCCCTCGGRACAGTGGGATGTCGGGTGCAGGGGGGGCAGGGTGCAGGGTGAGGCAGTGCGGGATGGGACATAGCCAGAGTGGGGGGAGAATGGGATGGGTTGGTGCAGTGCAGGGTTGTGGTGCAGGACAGGACGGCGTGGGGCTGGATGGGATGGGATGAGATAGGGCAATGTGGATTGGTGCGGGGTGGAGCAGGGCAGAAAGGTGTCAGCTCGGTACGGCTCAGGGCAATGAATTGTGCCATGGAGCAGTGGGGAGCAGCGTGGCGCGGAACAGAGCGGGGCGGTGCTGGGCACATCACGGAACTCGGGCTCCCTCTCCCCGGCAGACACTGATGCTCCCGCAAAGCACCGACGGGACAGCTCTTCCTCCTCCTTCTCCTCTCCATCCTTTACCTCCTCCCGCTGCCGCCGCCGCCGCCCCGACAGGTCCCGGCCGGGAGGATGCGGAGGGTGTGGACGCCATGCTGCGGGCCGTGTCGGAGAAGTGCCGCGCCGCCCTGCGAAGCCTGGGGAGCAGCGCGGGGGACAGCGCGGGGGACAGCCCCGGGGGCAGCCCGGGAGACAGCCCGAGAGGCAGTCCCACGGCCAAGCGCCCGCGGCCGGACCCGCGGCTCCACGGCGCCTTCCGCGGGCTGCGCACCGGCCGCGCCGCTCCGCGCCCGCTCGGCGGGGATCTGGAGGGGGGCGGCAGCCTGCGGGCTGCGCTGGGAGAGGCGGGCACCATCCGCACCCTGGCCTTCCCTCAGGGAAACGCCTTCACTCTCCGCACGGCCACCGGCGGGCACCGCTTCCGATGGGTGCCGCGCTGAGAGCCCCGCGGCTCCGGGGAGCCGTGTCCCGGCCGGGGCGGAGCGGGGCCTCTGCAGCCTGAGGCTGCCAGCGCACCCCACCCGGCGGCACGCTCCCGTTCTCTCTCGGAAAAGGAATATTTTCGCTTTGCCCGCCCACTCCCGGAGGAGCGACGGGACGAGCGCGGCAGAGGCGAGGGTCGCCGCAGGCTTCGTGCGAGGACCCACCGTAGCTCCTGAGTCTGCAGCTCGCACTCAGTAGCTTGCTAATGAATGTAATGAAAGTAGGAATTAAGCAACGATCTGCCCGGTTTCATCCAGAGGTTTTAGTCAGCTGAGCCGACAAGTATGCCTGACAGGACAGTGGGTGGAGTTGGGCGGTATGAAAGCAGACTGATCATCCCAAGCCGTTAAACASGATGCACCTGCCCCATCGTGGAATTTTACACCCAAAATGTTTACAAAGTGCACTTTTATCTTTCATGTGTGCAACTGTATCTGTATGTTCGTATTCGCTGTTATGATTAAATAGTGCTTAAAATTGCCATTTATTTGTACAGATGTAATATAAACTTCATTTTGCATCAKGTATGCATATTTGCTTTCATTAAAGCAGAGATAGCAGAAAGTTTTAGAATAAATCATGCTTTTAATATTCAGTGGTATCAACTCAAGGAAAGAGAAGTGTAAAGAGTGATGTCAGATTTTCTGAATGGATACATTTMATTTCACCAACTTGTTTGAAAGCTGAACCACCAATAACACACCTGAAACAGTACCTGATAATTTCATATTTCTGTGGCACACAAGTGATACACCCTGATTTAGCCAGGCTAGGGATTTTCTCCCTGTRAAGTTACCAGTTTTTCAGCACTCAGATTTTCCAATGTCCTTGCATGGGTCCATGCACATCAGCAGCAGTCCAGCTATACAAGACTTGTGTAATGGTTAAGCTGACAGCACATCATCACTTCAGTGGATTTCGTAGGGGAGTTGAAATCTTGCACACACTGTTGTGCTTTTGGCAAGCAAGGATACATTTGGAAGGGGAACGGTTGTCACCACAGCACGTAGTTGTATTGCTGCTGCAAAAGTGAGTCATTGAGTATCTAAGGTCCTTCATGTCTGCAGCACTGACATTTTTCAACAGAAATGGTGCTGAAGCCCTTTCTGGGACTCTGGGGGCTCTGCCCGAGGCTGACTTCAGAGACATTTGTATTTCTGCAGAAGACCATTGCTACTTTGGCCAAAATGGTGTATGAAAACTCTGGTTTGAGAGCAGACAGGAGAGACAAAAGCTTCCTGCCTTCCTGAATTCAGCAGTGAGTAAATTGATAAAAAAAGGGGAGTTTCTATATGTATCTGCTGTTACTCTCTGTGTTCTATGAAATTAAACACAAAATGTGTAGTGTGTACAATTTTGTAATGCTCATAAACACATCAATTCCTCAGAAATGAAGTGACACATTRGAAGTGTGTGACACTTAGCACTTCTTGTAGGATGTAACAATAGCCACTCTGTTGGTTGTCACTACTGTTGATCTTGCTGCTATTTCAAGTCTTTTTAGAATTACAAATGTGTTTTTACCCTCTTTTTCATTGAATGCCATAGCATTTCCACTGAATACTTTAACTCATAGTTTTCTATAGTAAAAGGATCCTTGATTAATTTTGAGATGTGACCTAAAAGTAATAGCAAATGACCATAGATGTATTTTTCAAATCTAYTTAATTTGAAATTGTTGGGGTTAAGAAGAAGCTTGTAGTGATTGACATTATCCTACCTTGTGTGTCAAGCTGTGGTTGGTTAWGCAGAGCCCGTRGATRCCGCCTAARCAGAGATGTGATTGGAYAAGAAGGTATGTGGGYGGTGACCCTGCTGAGCAAACAGCCAATGGATGCTTAGCCCAGGAAAAYTAAAATATAAAATGACACAGCTTTTGAAAATAAAAGGGATTTCCTCGAGTCAGCTAAGAAGTTGTCCGTGTCCTCTGCTCCTACAAATATTACAAATGGCTGTGTCCCACGTTAGGACATATCCGASGGGAAGTAAAAAGATTACGGCTGTCACATGAAGTCCTGCTAATTGGAAAAGCTGAAAATTGGCTAACCAGATGAACATGTTTCTCAGTRAGACTCACAGGATCATCATCAGACACACTGAGTCAGATATTGATAAAAGGTGTTCAGTAGGCAACATGGTATGGTCATGGTGCAAGGCTATAAACATATAAACATCTTCAATATATAAAGGTGTACTTAAAATTTGCACTTATCCATCCACTTCAAAAAAGAGCTGCATAAAAAGTGGGCAAATTTCTTGCACAGATTAAACCTGCCCAATGACTTTCAAAACAGAAGGGCTCCAGTGTCATTCTATCAGGTAGGAGTTGATGGGATCAAAGGGGGCAGGGAACAAAGCCTGGTCCTTTGATACACATGTTTCATGGCTGTTCTACAAGAAGCTGACCCGTGGAGAAGACTGTGGAAATGTGACGGTACACAACTACAGACAACTGGAACATTTTCAGGTGAAAAATACCTTTTAATTTGGGGGTGCCATGGTAAGGATTTACTGATCATATGTTGAAGATATGCACAACGATTTCATATACTTTGTTCTGGGAACGTGGGGATTTTCCTTGGGTAAAATCCTTACGTGTTAGTTTAAAAATTACACCAGACTTCAATGTACAGCTTGATTAAAACTGAAGAGTAGAAAGACTAGAAATTAGGTGCATATTAAGTCAGTAATTTTAAGTCTTTTCAGGATAGAAAAGGCAAAAGGGACCTGGATGGAATTATTTAGAAGTGGCATAGGGCTTTTGTTGTAGCTATAATTTGTGAAAGCCTTTTTTTATCAGCAATATTGCTCATCACTTGATTTAAAGGCAGTATCCAAGACTGAGTGTCAGGGTGGCATTTTTCTGCAGGGCTTGCCAGGGTTATTCAGTGGGTCATGAAGAGAAAATATTGCCCATTCACAAAYCTGAGCCACTCTCCACAGATCAGTAATAGTAATGTTCTTGCTTTGATGTTTCTATCAAATTGTATGTAAGCACAGGCACACATTTGATGTCATTTAATTACTCTGATCACTGTTATTGGAGCCTACATGTTCATATTCCTGTTTATATCCCATCACAAAGATGCAGCTGACAATCCCGTCTGCTTGCCACAGACCCTGTCTGGTGTCCGGCAGGCATCGGGGTGGCTCAGGCACTTGATGATCATGCAGAGACCAGACTGTAACATGGCTGTGATGCTGTTACAGCAGCAGTACTAAACCAMTCCTGTTGGGATTGGCTCTTCAGTGATTGCAGACAAATGATATTTCTAGGCTTTTATTCCCTAGTTTTCCTGGACGTTTTTCTAAATAAAAATACGCCTCTGTTTGACTTCAAGAAAAAGGAAAGCATTTTGCAGTCCTTTTTTTTTATGACAGCAGCATCACTTTTCATCTTTACTAAACATTGACTTCTGGTCAGCAGCCATTATTTGCATTTTGCATTTCACAGCSTTAACAAACAGCTAATGCTAATGAGGTCAAAAGAGGCTGTAGTTTGTTTTGGCACAACTATTTCATAGCTGTAGCAGAAACAGTCTTAAAGTTTGCCTTGCACTAGCACCTGTTCAAACTCTGATAGCAAGGGATTATTTATGTTAAATATTTATTTTATGCTCTTAAAGAAAATACCATGAAAAAATGAATCAGTAYGCATCTTCTAGGTTTTTAATGTGTTGATAAAACACATGAAARCATTCATTTTTAGTAAAAGCTCCAGATTTCTTATGGGGTTCATGTWATTATAATTAGAACTTGCTAAAATAGGTTAACTTGAATTTTGACTCTATTCTCTTTCTCACTCAGTAAATAGTTGTTGCTGTTGCCTGTGAAGGTGTCATGATTTGAGCCCAGATGGAAGTTAAACTACATGCAGCCACTTTCTGCTCTCCAGTCCCCCACCTGCACACTGGTGAGAGAGAGAAAGAGAGAGGAAAAGAAATCAGAATTATAAGTTGAGGTAGCAATTTACTGGAAACAGCAATGAGATAAGAAAATGAAAATTAACAGCAACAATACTACTGGCAACAATGTATAAAAGAGGGTGATTACACAGMAAATGTTCATAGAGTCCAACAAAGCAGACCTGGTGTTTTGCAGCTTTTTAAGACACATACATTTACATTTACATRAACATATCTATTTAAATATACACAAGCATAGGTGTCAAATCCGTAGTCAATGGGCATCCCATCTTGAGTGTGTAGTTCGTGTGGGCTCTATGCTCCCTAAATATTTTCCAGAGCAGGAGGGCTCTGTGCAGTTGATTGGTTGTGAGCTGCAACAGGACCTCCCAATTGGTGTGTTTGGAGCAGTCAGTCCCTSTTGCCCGTGGTAGTTATGGCACACAGAGGCAAAGCCATTCAGCAATCAATATTATACAGTTCAATTTTACAGACTGTCCTCACCCCCAAACCAAATCTCATTGAGGTACACACCATGTTTCCCTGTTCTTCTTCCTTACCCACCAAGGTCCTTGAGCAAACACMGTCAGATGGATGGACTTGCCTTTGCTTGAGGCAGGACTAATCCAAACTGCCTTCCCCAACAGCCATCCTGTGGTTGTTTTCGCCATTTTAAGTACATAAACCTTGCCTTGGTGGGCTTGTGGTAGTGTGATGTAACCAAACTGCCACCACTGTGGATGACCAAGGTGAGARTGTYCATGGCTAAATCCACCCCTTGAACATGAGCCCTGTGTCATCATTGGTATGTTGAGCCAGAATTAATTCACTCTTCTGCTGCCTGTCCAGATCCACCTGAGACAGGTGAGTCTTGACAGGTTGATCCACGTCTTCTTTGTTTTGATGTTCTTCAGTAGCCCAACTCTTGGGTACATGTGCATCTGCTGCCAAAAGAATGGAGAAAAATGCACTGCCAATGTCAATGTTGGCACCACTTCACTGCCTTGGACTCCAGCTCATATTGAAGCTCCAGCATATCTGGYACAGCAGCT